TCTTTTTATATTGTTCCTCTTTTATATTATTACTCTTTTTATATTATTACTCTTTTTATATTGTTCCTCTTTTATATTATTACTCTTTTTATATTGTTCCTCTTTTTATATTGTTCTTCTTTTTATATTGTTCCTCTTTTATATTATTACTCTTTTTATATTATTACTCTTTTTATATTGTTCCTCTTTTATATTATTACTCTTTTTATATTGTTCCTCTTTTTATATTGTTCCTCTTTTTATATTGTTCCTCTTTTATATTGTTTAAAAAGAGGAACAATATAAAAAGAGGAACAATCTAAAAGAGGATATTGTTCCTCTTTTTATATTGTTTCCCTTTTTATGTTGTTCCTCTTTTTATATTGTTCCCCTTTTTATGTTGTTCCTCTTTTATATTATTACTCTGTTTATATTGTTCCTCTTTTTATATTGTTACTCTTTTATATTATTACTCTGTTTATATTGTTCCTCTTTTTATATTGTTCCCCTTTTATATTGTTCCTCTTTTATATTGTTACTCTTTTTATATTGTTCCTCTTTTTATATTGTTCCCCTTTTTATGTTGTTCCTCTTTTTATATTGTTCCTCTTTTATATTATTAATCTGTTTATATTGTTCCTCTTTTTATATTGTTACTCCTTTATATTGTTCCTTTTTTTATATTGTTCCTCTTTTATATTATTACTCTTTTTATATTATGTTTTCCAAAATCTAACTGATGTTCTTTTTGTTCTCCCTTAATCTTATAATGTTTTTATTATCTTCAAGATGTTTCTCATTATGATGGAGTGTCTATATGACCTGAAATGACCTGGTGATTAGGGAACTCGACTCGCACTCTGTGGATCACGGGTTCGAATCCCCTCACCGAACATGTTCGCCGTTTCAGCCATGGCGGTATTACAATGTGATGATTAGTCCCACTATTCGCGATAAAGAGTAGCCCCAGAGTTGGCGGCGGGTGATATTGACTAGCAGCCTTCCTTCTAGTATACAAATTTTAAATTAGGGACGGCTAGCGCAGATATCCCGCGAGTAGTTTTGCTAAGTGCAACAAACAAAGAATACATATTACGACTTTTTTATTATTCCCTATATAGTCGAGCGTTGCGTTTTACGACAGTGTCCAACGAATCTGTCATTATTCGACATTCGTAATTCTTATTACATCCTACCTTCGTATTCGTTCGATCTTATCTGGTTGGTTTATTTTTGTATTTTAAGTTCTGTACATGTCCATTACATCAAAGTTTGTAACAACCGTTTCCTCTTTCCCGTTGAATATATTTGTACAGTAAGCTCCGCGTGCAAGACCAAGACTAAGGATTGTGTAACAACAGCGGTTCTCCTGTTTATCCTGGGAAAACTGTTTTTGGAAATTCGCTAACACGAAATAAAAGCACGTGCGTGTATGTGTGACTACTGAAAGACGAAGACACGAGTAAGATCTCAGCGGCATGATTAATCACAGAGAAATCCCAGTCGTTTGGTACATCCCATTAACTTATGTACTTTAATCATCCATAGGCGTGGAATACAAGTATATGTGTTACTGGCAGTGAGAAGAACCGGACCAGAAAAGGTGAACAGGAAAGTATTGTTATACTTTTTCGTATTTCGATGTATGATTAATATACTTCTAAGCCTAATAACAGTTAAAATGCGTATATATATATATATTATTATTACTTTGCTTTAAATTTAGGCCTAACTACATAAGCCCGGAGGTGGCGACCTCTTGGATTTATAAATCAGTTTTCCTCAAATATTTAATTATTTTCATTTCTTCGGTGTGAAATTCTAAACTTTCCTTTATTTGCCACAAACATGTACTATTAACATTTCTAATTTATCATATAAAATCCCTTCATTTTAATATGGTGAAATATACCCTTAACGAATATTATTTTATCTTTTAATATTTATTTGGTAGAAAATGAGAAGGCTTAGATTTTTAATAAGGGTTACAATAAAGTAACTTTATCATTGTATCTATAATAAATGATATCATATTTTATGTCGCATGAGACTCAGGTCATTTATTCTCATCATTCAAAAAACAAGAAACCATTTTCAAAATTGCGGCTGTATTCTTCAAGACTGCTAAATTATTAATGAGTTTGAAATGGTATTGTTTTCCTGATGATGTTTCGCTATTGTGGAATCAACGGTCATCCTCGTCACGTGGCTGAGAGAACGAGAGAGATTTCAAAAATCGATATTTCAAAATCAGATCGAAATAAAAGAAAAAAAAATGCCAAGAGCAATAAATGCTGTAATTATGACAATTAATGGCAAGATCTAATGATGTTTCAATAAAAAAATATAAGTATTATATATAACGAAACTAATAAATATTTATACATTTGTGGCCTAAAATTATGTAGTTTCGAATAAATAACCCCCCGCTGACAGCGTAATTATCATTACATATAGTTATTTGGCCTTTTCGTGTGTCTGCAGTGCAAGTAGAATCTACGTTGTTTAAACAGAATGACGTTAATGTGAATCTTTTGTAATTGCGTATTTATTAAAATACATTTCTGTTTTACTTTTATTAAGTAATTTTCAGCGGGAAACGTCATATATTAAGAAACTGTTTTACGTTCTCTACTGCTTATCATTCAGTTGTTAAAATTTAATTTGGAATATATGTTGAATACCGCACTTGTAGATTACAGTCTTAGATGTTGCACGCAAACTATTCAGAATATAAATGCCTTAATAATTTACTTTTCTAAGTACTTTTATTTCGATTGATTTGAACCGTTTCTTTCTTGTAATAAAGTAAAAAAAAAACACACACACAAATTAAAGAAATGTGGTGTAGATGAAAGACACACATGTTGTAAACGCGGAAACTAAAATCACGCGATGTTTTACAGTTAAATAAATGTTATTGATAACATATCCAACAAGTAATTTGTTTGGAGGTATGCGTTTAATTCTACGTTATATGCGCTGAATAAGAGAATCTTGTATCCCAACCGATCTGATGAGCTCTGGATTTAGCGAAACGCGTCGTCGGCAATGAATATGGCAGATATTGTGTGGTTGGAATACTATCATTATACACTCTTCTAGTTTTTAAAATTTTCTAATGAACTAGATTAAGAATTTAGTGCTTCAAAATGTAATAGACCTAATATTAAACTCTCATGACAATTATAATTGTAATAAGAGAATCATCCTTTTCTGATATACCTCAACAATACCTATAACGACGGTAATAATTCATTGTTAGTAATACATGTTAGTCGTCTCTTTATTGTTAAAATGCATTGTTATTCATTAATGCAAGTTATGACAAGTAAAAGAATTCTTTTAAAATATATTTTTCCGAGTTTTTAGTTGAGGAGGAAGAGTCTGAAATGAACACTAATCAGGCGCTGATGGCTATTATTGATTATTAGCTAGCTCAAGGATTTCAGTACAAAATGTTACTGATTGAGTGAAGTACATATTCAACAAAGATCAATGTTAGTGAAGAGTTTCTAAGCAGGAAGAAATGTACAGTCTAAACGCAAGGAACACTATCGATAGCTGGAGAATGGTTATCGTATAAGTTTGAATACCAAGTTATTTAGTTTTTCAAAATAAAACTGCCTCAGTTCTTCTTCGTTTGGACCCAATGATCGATCAACTAAAACTTACGTTACGGCACGTGATATTTTACGTATGTCAATATTAGAAGTATTTTAAGACCGGTTGACATATGTTTGCGACACCAACTTAAGCCTAGAATAATTAAACAATTTGTAACTATACTTCGTAGGATATTCGACACACGACTCAACACGTGCGGTTATGTGATGTACTGTTCTACTCTGAAGGATGAAGAACGCAATCCATCTTTCCAGCTCGAACTAACAACCATGTTTTCGGAACTCACAGTATTACAGTGATACAGGTCGGTTATGCAGTATTACGATCTGTAACACAGCTAAGCCTTACTAGGTTACAGTCTTTAACACAGCTTAGCATTAACACGTTACGATCTGTCACACATATAAGCTTTATTAGGATAAGATCTGTATCACAGCTAATCTTTATTAGGGTAAAATTTATAGCACGGCTTAGCCTTGCTTGGTTAAATAAGACTAATTATACGAATCTCCAGTTGGTTCTCAGTAATAATTAAGACTAATTATACGAATCTCCAGTTGGTTCTCAGTAATAAGTAAGACTAATTGTATGAATCTCCAGTTGGTTCTCAGTAATAAGTGAGATTAAATATACGAATCTCCAGTTGGTTCTCAGTAATAAGTAAGACTAATTATACGAATCTTTATTACTGAGAACCAACTGGAGATTCGTATAATTAGTCTTACTTATTACTGAGAACCAACTGGGTAAGACTAATTATACGAATCTCCAGTTGGTTCTCAGTAATAAGTAAGACTAATTGTATGAATCTCCAGTTGGTTCTTAGTAATAAGTAAGACTAATTATACGAATCTCCAGTTGGTTCTTAGTAATAAGTAAGACTAATTATACGAATCTCCAGTTGGTTCTCAGTAATAATTAAGACTAATTATACGAATCTCCAGTTGGTTCTTAGTAATAAGTAAGACTAATTATACGAATCTACAGTTGGTTCTCAGTAATAAGTAAGACTAATTATACGAATCTCCAGTTGGTTCTCAGTAATAATTAAGACTACTTATACGAATCTCCAGCTGGTTCTTATTAATAGGCAAGACTAATTCTATGAATCTCCAGTTGTTTGGTAGGGCATTAATAGGCTGCTCCTGCTTGTTTCGTGGGTTTAAGGTTTCTGTGACGACATTACGCTTGCCATGGGTAGATTATTTGTTTGCTTGATGTTAAGCATAAAGATACACAACGGACTAGTTTTGTTGTGTCCACCACAGGTATCGAAACCCTGTTTTTAGCCTTCAGGCGTATCGTTGAGGCACTGAGGGGATTATACGGGTCAAAGTCCTTTCATCTGAAAAAGGTCAAACTATAGAGGTCGAAATGTCGTCCAAGTCTAGAAATAGGTGCGACAAGTCCATTAAAACACTGTCAAAAAATCTTGAAAAAACAATTTTAAATCTATGCCGTACCGCGACGCCACATGGGAGTCGTTTCTGAACTTTAGTTTTAATGGCACGAGTTGGTGAGAATGTCCACCTGCTTAGGATGTTAACCCCCAGCTACCCACTGGTTCTCACAATACAGATGGGTAGAGTGTAACCATTAGGGTAAAGTGTGTTACTCGGGAACACAACAACTCGCAACCTTCCGACAACGACTCCAAAACCCTAGCCACTGTGCACAAATTTTGAACTGATAGAATAAAGGGAAGACATTAATCATCAACACCCACCGCCAACTCTTGGGCTATTATTCTCTGAACTAAAGTGGAGTTTCACCTTCAATCTTATAGCGCACTCACAGCCTCAAACTGCGGAGCCCATTTTTGTGGCAACGGGCCGTAAAGACGAAACCTCGGGTTCATAGTCAAAAAACACTAGGCACTAGACCACGCCCGGTCCTGCTTTAAGGGGGTTTCTGTATAGAATAATTATGAATCTAAACGAAGGCAACCGTCTGGAGCAGTAACACTTTTTCACAGCACTTTCTCCATTTGTAGGGTTTGTTACATTATAGTTGAAAGTTTAGGTTCAATGACATTATTTGTTCCAGTTAAAAACCAAACTGTTAGAACTAATGAAAATATGAATCTTGTTACTAGTTATACTATCCCCTGTTTAAACGTTTCGTTGTAATAGGACGAAAACTACATTAATACTCTGACTAACTTTGTTTAAACGTTTCGTTGTAATAGGACGAAAACCACTCTAATACTCTGACTAACTTTGTTTAAACGTTTTGTTGTAATAGGACGAAAAACCACTCTAATACTCTGACTAACTTTGTTTAAACGTTTCGTTGTAATAGGACGAAAACCACATTAATACTCTGACTAACTTTATTTAAACGTTTCGTTGTAATAGGACGAAAACCACATTAATACTCTGACTAACTTTATTTAAACGTTTCGTTGTAATAGGACGAAAACCACATTAATACTCTGACTAACTTTATTTAAACGTTTCGTTGTAATAGGAAGAAAAACCACTCTAATACTCTGACTAACTTTGTTTAAACGTTTCGTTGTAATGGGGCGAAAACTTCATTTTTAATGAATCATGAATTTGTTGAACCTACAAAAGAAAAACTATGAAATATTTATATAATTAATGCATAAAAGCGATCAAAATAATTTTATTATATGTTGCTAAGCAATCATAGTATTTCAGAAGCTTGGAATATTTACAAAAACGTAATACCTGTCCTATTCACTATTATCGGACTTTTCTAACCTCAGTTCCTTACTATGCACTTCTTACTTGTCGTAATTATATTTATTTGCTTCAGAATATCACCCAAAGCTACACAAGGGTTACCTGCGGATAACCGTCCCTAATTTTTAGCTGATAAATTAGAAGGGAAGACAGCTAGCATAATGGAGTTTTGTTGTTACTCTTATAACGCACCCAAAGTTTTCGGCAAGGGATGGTAAACCATGAACCCTTGGATTCACAGTTCTGGCA